AATCTTATGAGAAGGGAAGGAAGAATACAAGAGGAGGCTGGGGGCAGTGGCTGATCCCTATAATCCCAGCAATGTGGGAGCCGAGAAGGGTGAGGTGGTGTGTGCCTATAATTCCAGCTACTCAGGAGGCTGAGGCCTGAGACTCACTTAAACCTAGGAAGTGGAGGCTGCAATGAGTTACGATCATGCCACTGCACTCCAGCATGGGTGACACAGCAAGACTTCGTTTCAAAAAAAAAAAAAGTAAGAGGAAAGGAATGCCATGCCTAAGAAACAGCATGTGGTGCAAAGGCCTAGAAGAAAGACTGGCATGTTCAGATGACACAGTAAGTAATTTAGTAAGCACGGAGTATAAAGTACTCCAGGGGTGTAAAAGAGATAATCTAAGTGCCACAGGAAGGGTTTACAATCCCACCATTTATGAAGTTTAAACCTTGTTCCAAAAGCAATGTAGAGACTGATGGAGCTTTATTAAAAGGAGTGATAAAATCATATTTGTACTTTATAAAGATCAATTTGGACTGGGCACAGTGAATCACGCCTGTAATCCCCAAACTTTGGGAAGATCACTTGAGCCCAGGAGTTCAAGATCAGCCTGGACAACACAATGACACCCCCATATCTACAAAAAATTTAAACAAAAAAAAATTTTTTAAAGACCACTGTGGCTGTAGGAGCAGGCCAATATCAGAGGAAAAGGAAGGACTAGTTTCAAAGCTACTGCATAATCTAGAAGAAAGATGATAATGAGCTGTACCAGGTAATGGACCCAAAAACACAAAGGAGTCAGAAGCAAGAGATATATGAGGCAGAAACAGGACTTGGTGATTAATTGTATAAGCTAGTGACCAAAGTTCTGAATGATACCCAAGTTTCAGTTTCAAGCAATTGAAATGGTCAAGCCATTATGCCATTGCCACTAACTACGACTTCTTAGCATTTACGAGTATTTTATTTTTCGTAATGTCCTTTCACAATACAAGTACTTTATATGTACCAACAAGTCTCTGACCTCTCATATGTGAAATAATGTAATCTTCCCTAAGTACTACCAAGGCACACATACTCACCAACACATAGACACTCTCTCATTCTTCCTAAGTGATCTGTGAGGCTGCATAGCCAGTATGTGATAGTTTTCAAATCCAACCAGTCAAATTCCACTGCCTGAACTTATATCTGCTGATAAGTTATTTCTTTAATTCTCCCCTACAGCCAAAAATCTGTGACTCATAATTTCAGAGAAAACTGACACAAAGGAATTGCATCTTATCAAAAGATTAAAGTGGCATAGTAAACATGGGTTAAAAATTGCATATGTCATAGTTGCCCTTGAAAACCCACATAAATTTTTTTAATAAATTTCATAAAGTATATTACATATTGTTTGTATATACAACCCTGTACAAACAGGTCAATTTATGACTGGGTGCGGTGACTCACACCTATAATCCCAGCACTTTGGGAGGCCGAGGTGGGTGAATCACTTGAGGTCAGGAGTTCAAGACCAGCCTGGCAAACATAGTAAAACCCTGTCTTCACTAAAAATACAAAAGTAGCCAGGCCTGGTGGTCCACACCTGCAATCCCAGCTACTTGGGAGGCTGAGGCAGGAGAATCACTTGAACCTGGGAGGCAGAAGTTGCAATGAGCCCAGATAGAGCCACTGCATTCCAGCCTGGAGCAAGACTCTGTCTCAAAAAAAAAGTCAATTAACAAACATTCAGGGTATAATGTTCATACCCTGAAAAGCAACTGGGATCAAATGGGGGAAGAGCAGCTTTATATCTCCCATTGCATACTCACTGGGATATATGTATGTTGAGCATGATGATGGCAAGTGGAATTGCCCACTCTTTAAATTGTCATTTTTCTTGCTTCCCCACGCATAGTCATATAATAAAACTCTACTTTTCACACATATTTTAAGATTTTCTCTAGTTTTAAAGCACTGCCTCATTCACCTTTTAAAAGAACCATAACTACTCCAATGGAGTGCTCTTTGAATCATATCTTAAAAATAGTAATTAGTTTACATAAATTTGGATACCTGAATAGACTAAATTCTTCCTTCCAGGACTTGTCCGAGCAAAAGGCACTCTGCCTGCCATTTCAAACATCTTTTTTACACCAAAACTGTGGTATTTTTCCAGAACTGCTTTAGGAAGTTCCCAATTTGCCAATAGTAGCTTGTCTATTTGGCAGTCGGGAGCGGTAGGCTTGCACTTTCCTTTTAGGAAAAAGAAAAAATTAAAATTTACTTCTAATGAATGAGATTTACAGTTAGCTTTCACTGTGTGTTGCAATTCCTGTTGAAATGAAGCTATTTAAAGCACATCCTGACTTCAAGAATCTTATGAGAAACGCCATGTATAGAAAAGTAATAAATTGTTATTTAAGGCATATGATAAAAACAATTCCTTACAAGCCTCAAACAAACAAAAACCCCTGTGCAATACATAGTAGATAAAGAGTGTTGGAATTTCGGGCGGAGTGGGGGGAAAAGGATAATATGGAAGCATTACAAAGCTTAGTTAGGTAAGTTTCTATTTGTAAGTTTTAATTCCATGACGACCGCACAACTAACGATTTTTTTAAATTGGGTAGACATCCACCAGACACCCAACCAATCTCATTACGAATCCCTGGACGCCAGCCTGTGCTATCCTCCAGGCCCAACAATCCGGTCTTAAGGATCTGTAAGAAGCACTGGATACTATGAGGAGCGAGCCCTCCAACAGGTGATGGTATTTGGCTAAATAGGAAGTTGTTTCTGTAAAGGTCGAAAGACCCAGAAGCCACGTGAACATTAATACCAGGCGACCACTGAAAGCACGCGTATGTCGCCCGAGTCACAGAGAAGGGGAATAGAAGCCCAATGGGGTATGCAATCAAGCAAGCCCCGTGGGGGGAGGACACCTCCCGACCCACGGCCCGGCGGAGCTTCCCCCGTTGCCCGCGGCCTCCCGGGTTCCCGGAGTACCTGCATTTGCGGCTGACTGACGGCCACGGTCCTTCAGGCAGCGACCCAGGCCCGGCGGCGGGCTCAGCACGGTCCGGGAGAGGAGCTGGAGGCTGGCACTGCTGTCACTGCCGCTTCCCGACAACGAATCTGAACCTGACTCTGAATGCCGCCGTTTCCCACTCCGACGCAGAAGATTCATGGCAAACCCTTTTCGAACAATCAGGGCAAGCCACAGTTCCAGCGTCCCCCCACTCGGGAGAAGCCTGGCCTGGCCTGCCGACAGGTGCTGTCATCGTCTTACCGCCTGTCTTCAAATTCAAACCTCCCGGCCCGCCCCGGAACCATAGAGTTCTCCGTGGCTTAAGTAACCCGAAAGCCATAGAGTCGTGGGGAAGAAGCCGCTCTCGCTGGTATCTAAGATTTCCGGCCTCCAGCCTCCGTTGTTAGTGAATATCAGACGTAAAGAGGAAAGCCATAGAGTCGTGGGGAAGGAGCGGCTCTCGCTGGTGTCTAAGACTTCCGGCTTCCGGCCTCCGTTAGTTAATATGAGACGTAGATTAAAGAGGAAGAATACAGAATCTACAGTTACAACTATACTTACCCTTCTCTTTTTATCCATTTCTGGTTTAAATGGGAAGGCCATAGTAGGTAGATAGGGAAGTAGCTCTTCTTAACGCATTGATAATTTGTAAAAAATTATTTCACATTGCGAAGCATTATGCAAGAGAGCCTAGGGTTTCTAATGGAGCATAATTTTCCCCTTTCTCCTAGTGTATGATGGCAGAGCAGGGCTATTTCTGAAACCAATTTCCATTTTAGCCAGCATGCACTGTGAGGAATATGTAATGATGAATTGGGGATTGCTGGCCGACAGACCCCTGAGACAGCTGTATGAACGCCGCGAGGAAGGGGCTCTGAATGTACCTCAGGGATAGTTATGAGCCAAGAGTTTAGTAAGGGATCTGTGTATTCTCTTTTGTAAAAGTGGAAGCGAACGGTTTCTGAACGTAAAGCAGTGACCATGCATGACCTAGGTGCACAATTTATTTCACCAAGCAAACCTAGTAAGCCCCAAACCTGACCTGGAAAGGCTGTGCAATTCTAGAGTGCTAAAAATCTCAAAAGGCCCAGTTCAATTAAAAAAAAAAAAAAAAAAACTACTCGAATACAATCTGAAAAATAGCACTCGAACCATCAATTCTTTCCATGAAAAATTTCAGGGATTTAAATGACAATATTTTAACGTTCCACGAGATGGCGACATTACTCCATGAATGAAACATTTTTTTCTTCGCCTTTTATGCAATCAACAACTATTCATTGAGCAGCTACTGTAAGCTAGCTACAGGGTATAGCAGTGAAATGGCATAAAATGGTTCCTGCTCTCGTCGGCCGGGCGCGGTAGCTCACGCCAGTAATCACAGCACTTTGGGAGACTGAGCCAGGCGGATCATGACGTCAGGGGTTCGAGACCAGTCTGATCAACATGGCGAAAACCTGTCTCTACTAAAAACATCCAGGTCTGGTGGAGCGCACCCGTTAATCCGATCTACTCAGGAGGCTGAGGCAGGAGAATTGCTTGAACTCAGGAGGCAGAGCTTGCAATAAGCCGAGATCCTGCCATTGCACTCCAGCCTAGGCTACAGTGCGAGATTCTGTCCCAAAAAAAAAAAAAAAAAAAAAAAACGGTTCCTGCTCTCAAAGAGAGTCTAGAGAATGAGATAGACATTAAACAAATCAGTTAATAATTAAGTGTGCCATATGCTCAGGCAGAATAGAGTACTTGTTTGTTAATAATAATCATCTGTTTAAGAGATAAAAAAGAAAGAAATGAATAGAATACTATCAAAGAAATAAGAGAGATCTGGCTGGCCTTGGTGGCTCACACCTGTAATCCCAGCACTTTGACCAGCCTGGCCAACATGGTGAAATCCTGTCTCTACAAAAAAATACAAAAATTAGCTGGGCACGATGGTGGGTGCTGGTAATGCCAGCTACTCGGGAGGCTGAGGCAGGAGAATCGCTTGAGCCAGAAGGCAGAGGTTGTAATGAGCCGATATCATGCCACAGTACTCCAGCTTGAGCAACAGAGCAAGACTCCATCTCAAAAAGGGAAAAAAAAAAAAAAAGGAGTACCAGGCATGTGGGCTCACGCCTGTAATCCCAGCACTTTGGGAGGCTGAGGTGGGTGGATCACAAGGTCAGGAGTTCAAGACCAACCTGGCCAAGATGGTGAAACCCCAACTCTACTAAAAACACAAAAATTACTAAAAAAACACAGCCATGGTGGTGGGCACCAGCAATCCCAGTTATTCAGGAGGCTGAGGCAGAATTGATTGAACCCGGGAGGCGGAGGTTGCATTGAGCCAAGATCACACGCCACTGTAATCCAGCCTGGGCAACAGAGTGAGATTATGTCACACACACACACACACACACACACACACACACACACGATAGATTGTAATCATGAAAGAACTTTCTCAGATGCTGTGTAACTTAAGGGTTGACACAGAGCTACTCTGGAGGCAGCCAGTCTAGGTTTTACGATTTAGTAGCGGTGATTTCTTGGGCAACTTGCTTAACCTTTTTTTTTTTTTTTTTTTGAGATGGAGTCTTGCTCTGTCACCCAGGCTGGAGTGCAGTGGCTCAATCTCTGCTCACTGCAACCTCTGCCTCCCAGGTTTAAGCAATTCTTCTGCCTTAGCCTCCCAAGTAGCTGGGATTACAGGCACCTGCCACCATGCCTGGCTAATTTTTGGAGTTTTAATAGAGACGGGGTTTCAAACTCCTGACCTCAGATGATCTGTCCGCCTCTGCCTCCCAAAGTTCTGGGATAACAGGCCTGAGCCACTGTGCCCGGCCTTGAGATTATTATTATTTTATTTTATTTTATTTTATTTTATTTTATTTTGAGACAGGGTTTTACTCTGTTGCCCAGGCTGGAGTGCAGTGGTACAGTCTCAGCTCACTACAACCTCCACCTCTCAGGTTCAAGCAATTCTCCTGCTTCAGCCTCCAGAGCAGCTAGAACCACAGGTGCTTGTCACCACGCCCAACTCATTTTTTTATTTTTTGGTAGAGATGGGGTTTCACCACGTTGGCCAGGCTGGTCTAGAACTCCTGACCTCAAGTGACCCACCCATCTCAGCCTCTCAAAGTGCTGGGATTACAGGTGTGAACCACCATGCCCAGCCTATGCAGAGAATTTTAGATCTTACCTCTCACCCTGCTAGGAACTCCAGACTCCTATCCCCCAGAGCCCATAATCTATGCTCTAGACCCCAGGGGGATCAGCAGGCATCACCATGAAAAACTTTGGGTCAAGAGCTTTTCTTAATCCTCTAAAATGTGTTTGACATTTCTGTCCTACAAAGGATTATCTGATTTTAATCAGCTTAGTTAGAATGTTAAGGAAGGTGTGCCATAGTCAAAGTGGTTTCTTTTTCAGTTTAATATTGCTGAAAACAGAAGAAAAGCCTGGGCGAGGTGGTTCATGCCTGTAATCCAAGCACTTTGGGAGGCCGAGGTGGGCGGATTACGAGGTCACGAGTTCGAGACCAGACTGGCCAACATAATGAAACCTCATCTCTACTAAAAATACAAAAACATTAGCCGGGTGTGGTGGTAGGAGGCTGGGGCAGGAGAATTGCTTGAACCCAGGAGGCAGGGTTGCAGTGAGCAGAGATCACACCATTGCACTCCAGCCTGGGGGACAGTGAGAAACTTCATATAAAAAAATCAAAACAAAACCAAAAAAACAGAAGAAAAAAAGCCCTTAAATGACGATAATTGATGTACATTCAAAAACATCATCTGATTTTTTTGGTAAGTTATCAGGAGTGATTTGCCATGGAAATCTCAGAAGTTATATGGAAAAATTAAAATTTACCCAAACTAGACCAGGCACAGTGGCTGACACCTATAATCCTAACACTTTGGGAGGCCAAGGCGGGAGAATCACTTGTGCCCAGGAGTTTGAGCCCAGCCTGCACAACATAGTGAAACCCAATCTCTACAAAAAATTCAAAAATTAGCCAGGAGTGGTGGCACATGCCTGTAGCCCTGAGCCACTAGGGAGGTTGAGGCAAAAGGATCTCTTGAGCCCAGGAGGTTGAGGCTGCAGTGAGTTTTGATGGCACCACTGCAATCCCCCATGACCCTGTTTCAAACATGAAAACATATAAACAAAATTACTCAAACTACTTTTGTGAATTGACTAAAACAGGATTATCTACCCAGGCTGAAAACTCTTGTTTCTCATGTGAGTGGAAGTGATTTGCCAAAGGGCAAAAAAGAAAGAGCTGGAAAATAAACAATGAATGTGGAAAAAGAGTGGTACTGATTAGATCTAAGGTACTCAGAAAAAAGGAGATGCTAATTAAGGGGATTTTGTGTTTGAAATCCAGTGATTCTCAACTAAAACAAGTCTAGTTAGAATCCCAGAGGAGCTTTTAAAATATTATAATATCCCTGGAGATTCTGAGTTAATTGATCTGGGATGGAGTGCAGGCACTGATATGCCTTAAAAGCTCCCCAGGTATTCTGACATGCTGGAACTGAAAACCACCAGTGCAAGCAAGGGATGAGGCCGACTTGAATTCAGGTGGCTTCAGTGAGAAACTTTTAATAAGGGGCTTAAATTAACAAGGGACTCTGACAAAGACCAATTTTTCCACAATGCCTCAAGGAACTAGTTGAAATAGCTTACTTGTGGATGGGGATGAAAGCACAATTGCAATAACTTCAAAGGTCTAGGTTAAAACATCAGAAAGCCAACTTGAAGGTGATAAAACTACAATGAGAACACGTGGACACAGGGAGGGGAGCACTACACACTGGGGTCAGTTGGGGGGAAATAGGGGAGGTACGGTGGGGGGTGGGAAGCTGGGGAGAGATAGCAGGGGGAGAAATGCCAGATGTAGGTGATGGGGAGGAAGGCAGCAAATCACACTGCCACGTTTGTACCTATGCAACAATGTTGCATGTTCTTCACATGTGCCCCAAAACCTAAAATGCAATAAAACAAATAAATGGGAAAAAAAAAAAGAATGAATCCCCCAAAAAGACTAAATTACCTGAATATGTAAGAACACAAACCCATAACTTCCACATTCATACATAGTCTGGTCTTAGTTTGGCTGCTGTATTACAATTCCTTTGACTGCATAATTTATTTTTTTTCCTTTTTTTTTTTGAGATGGAGTTTTGTTTTTGTTGCCCAGGTTGGAGTGCAGTGGCACAATCTTGGCTCACTACAACCTCCACCTCCCAGGTTCAAGTAATTCTCCTGCCTCAGCCTCTCGAGTAGC